CTCAACAATTTTCCCATATCACATTCTGGTGAGAGATTGCCTATGAAGCAAAGTTGTATTTGCCATAACATTCGACCACACTACTTATTTGATGTTCATAAGTGGGTTTTCGAGACTACCACTAGATCAGTGGTTAACAAACTTTTCCTAGTCGCGGCGCCCTTTTTTAATTAAAAACTTTTCCATGACTATTCGTAAGTAATAGATAAATACATATAAAACTGGTTTATCTTCATTATTTTTTACTTTATTGACATTAAATTAATATTTAATAATTAATGTGATGGATGAGCCTGCAAATCACTACACATTTTCTCACAATTAAGGCTTTTACGATATTTCGTGGCGCACAGCTTGGGAATCACTGCACTAGTTCATATATACGACATGTATTAATCCTATATATATATATATATATATATATGTGTGTGTGTGTGTGTGTGTGTGTGTGCCTTGACTTTGGCTAGGAATGGTTCTTTCGTTACCAACTCTTTGAACAACGGTCTTGTTGTCTTGCTGGTCTAAGTTGAGTTTTTGAGTTGGTGTCATGGTGACAAACGATTGAGATGAGGTTTAATTGAATGTGGTGTGCGTGGGTTGGAGGCCTCCGAGGGTCGGTTAGTGTGATCACATTTTCCTGACGTTTTCTCCACCCGTGAAGCTTGCACAGCTGTCTGATGCCCAACACATCGGCCTCGGCAGGGGTGTGAACATTGTGATCGCTGAGGCCTCCGGCCTTGGCCACCAGAAGAGCAAGCGGGCAGCCTCCGAAGTCTGGGTCTCCGATGGCGCCGGCGCCGGCGCCGCCCAACTCGCCGCTCCCCGGCCTGACCTGCCTTCGAGGCCGTTCCGTCTGGGGCGGACGGATCCAGTCTGGACAGGTCCGCAGCTTCCGCTGCCTCAGGAGCCGTCGTCTGCCCGGTCGCCCCGATTCCAGCCCCACCAAGCTCATCTCGGCCCGACTGGGCCGTCACGACCGGTCGACGACGGCGGTCTGCAGACGCGACTCGAACTGCGGACCCCACTGTCGCCTGGGCCGAGGAGTTGGCCGGCGCCGGACGACCGATCGAGTCGGCCGGTGGCCGGCTGGAACATCAGTCGGACGGGACAGATTTCCGCGGCCGCTCAAAGTCTGTCCGCAGAGTTGGCCATCGTGGGGCAGCACTGCTTTCGACTCAACTACCTCACAGACCGGCTTCTTGGTGAGCCTTCTCGAGGCTTCAGGAAACACTTTATAGAAGTGATCCGACCTCGTTTCACCACTTTCCTCGTGTCCTCATAGCGACCGAGATGAGCACATCCTGTCCGAACTCATTTGCCATTTAGAAGTGGGTTGACCTCGTTGTCGCAACTTGGTCTTGCGTTCAGGGAGACTATGTAGAACGCACCGA